GGGTCAGTCTATGTACTAATCGCTCAGAAAGGTAACTGACAGGAATGGGGAGGGGGGTCAGGAGCTAAAGAGTTAATAGTGTGACTCAGTCCTGGGGAAATGCAAATGAAATCCTGCACATGGAGTCACTGCCCTCTACATCTCGCTTTTCTTGTTTCTAAAGCTCTCACTGACTTCCCACATCTTCTATACGTTTTACAACCATTATTTTCTTAAAGGGAAACAATGATTTTGGGGTAATTTTTTAAACTGTTAAATTATACAGTAAACTCACCATTATCCGGCATTCACGGGAAATTGGTAGATTCCAGATAAATGTAGTTTCTGGTTGCTTGAGAGTTACCATTAAAAATAGGTCTAACTAATGCCATGCCCTATACTATACCATATCATAACAAACTCTGTATTGACTTCATATTAATATTTAAATGCCGTAATCAAAAGCAAATTAAAATTAATAGGCACACCTAAAAAAATTAAGACAAATAGGCACACGATTATTCCAGGATAATACATGCCGCAGATCAGCAGAAAAGTGAGTACACATGGAATTTTGTTTTTTTCTGGTTATATGAGAGTTCTGGTAAGTTGAATACCGGATAACAGAGTTTACTGTGTGTGTGTGTGTGTGTGTGTGTGTGTGTGTATATATATATATACTATTCATGTGGGAAAAATTATGGGGGCCCTGCATGTGCCACCCATCTCTACAAAAGTTGATATAAAATCATGGGGTGGATAATTATTGGCTGGGCAGTGATCCTATCCTATCCATATTCAGACAGCCTCAGGTGCTGCAGCAGCTGGATACAATAGCAAGTGTGGGGATGACATCTATGCTGTTTGACAAGGATTGGGAAATCAACTGATTTTTGTTTCTCCTTCAGCTGATGCCTTTTATGTCATTGGACTGCAAGGGTTACGTTCTCATTTTGGTCTAGGGCAGGGGTAGGCAACATTGGCTCTCCAGCTGTGCTGAAACTACAAATCCCAAAAGGCATTGCAAGCCACAGGCATGACTCCCAGAGGCAGAAGCATGATGGGATTTGTAGTTTCGGCACAGCTGGAGAGACAAGGTTGCCTACCCCTGCAGTGGCGTAACCAGAGTTATGGGCGCCCGGGGCAGAACATTTTTTTTAAACATCCACTAGAACTGTAAACCCCACCCCCACACATATATATCAGCTAAGGAGCTACAAGTCCAAGCATGCCATCATTGTCCCTGTACACCCCCCACACACGCACATATCACCCAGGGAACGGCAATATCTGGTTATTGTACAGGGGCAATGAGGGCATGCTGGGACTTGTAGTTCCCTAGCTGATATCTTATGAAGCTGTATTCCACACGCAGTGGCCTCGGAGGAGCGAGCGGCCGCCCGATGACAGCTTGGTGAATGTGGCAGAGAGAGGGAGCCAGGGGCTTCGTTTAGCAGGGGGTCGTGATGGCGCCCCCCCTCAGTCCTGCGCCCGGGGCAAGTGCCCCCCATGCCCCCCCGGTTGTTACGCCACTGTACCCCTGGTCTAGGGGCTAAAATAAAGAAGATCCTAAGTCCTGTGGCAATGCCCGCTCACCTCTCTTCCCCTCCGCTGTGGAATGTTCTTGGCATCCTCACTTCCAATGCAAGTCAATTGACTTGTGTTGGATGTCAGAGGTACTTATACCACTGAAGCCCAGGGGAGAAGAGGCTGCGAGGACCTGTCTAACAGGCAGGACCGAGGATCAGATGGGTATATCTTTTAAAAAAAATTATTTTAGACCCTAACCCCACTGCAAGGGTTAATTTTTAAAATGGTCGGAGTTCTTCTATAACAGTACAAAAGGGACTAAATAAGAGACGGTCACTGTTTCCCTACACTTTACTATAAGGCTCCATGTGGTATCTAAGAGAGAAATTCTTCATTAAAGGAGAACTATGGGGTTAGGGATTTTCCCCATAGTTCTCCTAAGGGTCACGGGAGAACACAAACTAGCGTACTCCCGTGACCCAAAGTTCAGTATAACGCGAGCTACAGCTCGCGCTATACTGAGACGCCGCAGCCGGATCCCAAAATTGCTGTTGGGATCCACCCAGCTGCGGGATTGACAGCTGGCTTTGCCTATCCAGAGACAGAGCCAGCTGTACCCGCCCCGTCCATTACTCCAGTCAGTGCTGGTGGATCGGACAGGGGAGGGGAATCCCTGCAGGGAGCCATGAGTGACAGTCACGGCTCTCTGCATAGATAGATCGAGAAGTGAGCGAGCACCGGTATATGTTCGCTCACTTCCCGATCTACTGAGCCGACGTGTGACAGTTTCATTGTCACAGGTCGGCTCAGATTATGAGGCTGAGTGAAAATCGCTCGCCTCATAATTCTCCTTTTTAAATGAAATAATATTTTGGGTGACATAAAAGCTTTTAGTGGTGAACTGTTTTAAAAAAAATATTTTTACATGTTTGCACTATTTTTGTATTTGAAATAAATATTTTCATGGGAAAATGAGTGTGTGATAAAATAATGTATCCAACCTGACCCCGAAGAAATTAATTGTCTCTATTGTAGAACGTGCAGAGAAAGAACATACGGTAGCTGAATGTTATACGATCCTGAGACTTGTGACTTTTACAGCAATCCTGATACCTCCTGCCTCCCAATTCTGCAGCTAGATTTCCCCAAAGGCATACAGAGGCAGCCAGAACAAGAATCAAAAGCTTGAGGAAAAATAAAAGAATGTAAATGTAACACCCTGCTGCCTTGGCACAGAACACGAATTCCAGATGGTGAACATGGCCCTGATTTTAGAAGGTGCTATTGGCTATAAAGAGAAGAAAGAGTTTTAGGTCTGTAGTCAGGTGATCATGCATGGAAGGTTTTCATAAATCATAAAAAGTGCATAATATGATAAACTCAGAATAATAAGCATATGAGAATTGCAAAGCTGTCAATTAACATGCGATACCAGATTGGGGGATGATCTCATGTCTCAGAAAGGCAGCGGGTACAGTCAGGCAGGTTAGAAAGCCTGTCCCCCCTCCGCAATGTTATTATCTGCAGTAGCTTCTGCCTGTATGAGACTTCTGCCATAGTTTCTCTCCGTTCACATAAAGGCAAATGCTCAGCTGGATGGAGCATTCGTGTTTGGCCTCATTCACATGAGAAAAAGCTCCGTGCTGCGCGCACGGCCGTATCTGGAAGCTCCTGGGAAGGACAGGTGCTGCGTGTGATTAGTACGCAGCCCCTGTCCTTCTCTATGGGAGTACACTGCTGTACATTGCCCTACGCTCACCCCAAGTGCAGGTCCGTACGGGTGCGGGTGTCCCTAATCGGACGCAGACAAGTACAGACACCCGCACGGACGTGCAGAGCGGGTGAGTGTAAGGCGGCGTATGGCCGTGTACTCCAATAGAGAAGGACAGGGCCTGCGTACCAATCACACGCAGCACCTGTCCTTCCTGCGAGCGGCCCAATACGGCCGTACACGGAGCTGTACGTGCCGGCTTTTTCTCGTTTGAATGAAGCCTTTATGGCACCGCAGTCTGTTGCAGGTGCTAGAGTGTGGTTGGACTGTACCTGCACAGTCGACCACTTACATAAGTCTATGGTAAGCCATCGGCAAGCATTTCAACCATTGAACCATTCTTTGTCCTTACTTATTGCACAGACATGGATGTACCCTAATGGCAGTGATCATGGCGCAGGGTTCATCTGTATCATGGAATAACAGTATCCCATTGTAATTATTGTCACTGTACACTGATCAGCCATAACATTACAGGCACTGAGAGGTGAAGTGAATAACATTGATTATCTTATTACAATGGCATCTGAATGTGGGTGGGATATATTTGGCAGCATGTTAACATTTTGTCCCTGAAGCTGATGTATTGGAATCACAACAAATGGGTATGTGTTAGGATTTGAGCGACTTTGACAAAGGTCAAATTGTGATGTCTAGATGTCTGGGTCAGAGCAACTCTAAAACTGCAGCTCTTGTGGGACGACCCCAATCTGCAGTCGTCAGGACCTACCAAAAGTGTTCCAAGGAAGGAAAACAGGGTTATGGGCGGCCAAGGGTCATTGATGTACGTGGGGAGGGAAGGCTGGCCTGGGTAGTCCAATCCAACAGAAGAGCTACTGTAGCTCAAATTGCTGAAAAAGTTAATGCTGGTTCCAACAGAAAGGTGTCTGAACACACAGTGCATTGCAGTTTGTAGAGTATTGGGTTGGGTAGCTGCAGACTGGTCAGGGTGCCTATGCTGACCCATGTCCACTGCCAAAAGCACCTACAATGGGCATGTGAGCATCAGAACTGGACCACCGAGCAATTGGCCTCCACATTCTACGGCTATCTTTTTTATGAGCCTTGTCTGCTAGGATCAGTGGAAACACATCTTTGATTCCTAGTTTAAAGTGTCAGCTGGCTTCTATACAGTATTGACAGGGTCCTGAAATGTACAGTATTGTTGACCATATACTGCTGATCTCCCTGTTATGACACGCCAAGGTGTTGTTCAGGAAGGAATGGCTCATTCAGGGGTACCTGAGAACGTCATAATGAGCACTTCTCACGTCAGAACCATTCATTATCACTCACGGGGACCATTTTTTTGATCATCTGCATGTGTCCTGATCTATCTTCTGCACCTATTAATTAAAAAGAACAGAAGCAAAGTGTAAACCGCGGCTCCCTGCGATGTGCTGAACGAGTTGCAGGTCCCAGTACTACAAGTACAAGGCTGATGTCTTTCCACCTGTTATTCATGTGGAGACTTTTGCCCATCTATGTTTAGCCTAATGTGTCCACCTCTCAATAGTATCAACGTTTTCCTTAGCATTTGAAGGAGTAACTACAGCCATTCATGTTGCAGCACAGAGGAGAGTCCAGCAGACATCCACTTTTACTACAAAGAAAACTATTCCTGTGATTGTCTTTGTATCCTATGCTGACCCATAAAGAATGCCTCTGCTTTCAAATCTATTTCTAGATACTAAATTGATGCCATCTTTTTAACCCCTAGTATCATCTATGGAATTGTTTACCTCTGAGGAGATCCAGGCAGTCAATGGAACAGACATCCGTCTGAAATGTAAATTCAGTTCCTCTGCACCTATAGGTGAGGATGTTACAGTGTCCTGGACATTCCGCCCTTTAGCAGGGGGCAGTGAAGAGTCTGTAAGTATCAAAACATGTCCACTTCTATAATGGTGTTAAAGCCAAAAGCCTTTGTTGATATTTAAAAATAAATAAAGCTGCCATCAGGTTTACCGTGTAGACACCTCCTAGGTGCCTGGGCATCCCTTCAGCAGCCTTCAATCCCTGCCACTATAGATGACTCCCAGGCAATTCAGATTAGGAAAAGCTGAAGTTTGCCTAATCCTCATGTACATTCTTATTGGCCAGTGAGGCAGCCCATCAAAGTGGCTGGCCAATAGGAGTGTGTGGTAGGTGCAAGGGAGCGTGCAAGCTTTAAAGCTACCAGGAATTCCTGGGGATTTGGCAGTAGCAGCAGTGACTGTAGACTGAACTTTATACAAAATTACAACCTTATTATAAAGAAGAACTCTGGGCAGTTACAAATTTAACTCACCCGACCCTCTGCCCCGCCTGGATGCTAGACCTGCCTCTTCTGCCCTGGGCTCTGGCGGTCTAAGCCCCGCTGATATCATCACGTGTAATACAAGTCCATTGACTTGTATTATACGTGAGGATGCCGAGGGATATACCACAGCCGGAGCGGAGGGTCACTGTTGCAGGACCAAAGTGTGGGTGAGTATCTTGAGGTAGTCCCACTGCTAGGGTTAAGTTTTTTTAAAACTGCCTGGAGTTCTTTTTTAAGGAGTTGCTATATACTTACCTTTTACAGGGAGGGGCCATCAACGTAGCGGAATTTTAACACACGGGTTTGCCGCAGCACACAGCAGTTTCATATAGTTGCTATTGGTTACTATACATTGTATATTGATTTTTGTTTTATAAAGCTTGTATATCCATTTTCTAATCAATTCATGGTGCCCTGTGGTAAAGAACCCATGAAAAAAATCCTGCCAAGGAAGCAAACCTTTAGAGTCTGGTGCAGGTACAGAAGAATGTGCAGGAAGCTCAAGGTGATTAAATATTACACCTGCAACAGATTTTTGGGTTGTTTTTTTTTTAATGAAAAATTTTAGGAACAGATGACAGCTGTAAGGAAGTTAATCCCTAAGATCCTATAATAATACATTTTGTTAGCTTCCCCTGTTGCGCAAGTGAGTACATGTGCCAGTAGGCCCTGCTGCAACATGTATTCAGCAAGGAGGAGCTGCTATTATGAATGTTTTTTTTTTTTTTAAACAAATTTTATTAGAATTTTGTGATACAAAAACAAAAACACTGTCTGCGCATCCGCATGCCGATAACGCAAGCTGTAACACAGGTGACATCAAGAGCAGACATGTACAGTCCTCAACCGATTATGAATGTTTTAAAGGAAGTGACATATATAATATTTAGTATCGCTTTTCTACACTTTCATCTTAAAAGCAATAAAAGTGGTTATTTTATCCTGGTAACTATGTGGAAAAGTAATTTTTGTGGCCATATTCAATACGGCTGTGCAAGCAGCAGTGGTACTTGGCAGTAAACTATATATGCCTTTTATACTCATCCCGCTTTAGAATCAAGCGTTTATGTTTTTCTATTCCCATATTTTTGGTTTTATTTTATCCACATTGTAATAAATATGACAAGTTGATTGCTCATATTTGTATGTCTGTGAGATGTATATGCCTGCGCTTTTGTGGAAAGGGCTGTCTAGTGGTAAATAATGGTAGCTTGACTAAGTACATAGCACAGAAACAATAATTTATATACTGAAATGCAATCTGGACATTTTTTTAGGACTAGAAATGCCACCAATATAACATCTCTAGCAATTCTTCAAGTGCTTCTCCCTACCTTTCCTAATCCAAAATACATCTCAGATCAATTTCAAGTCACTGTATTTGTCGAAATGCAAGATAAAATATTTACCTCCTGCTTTTTCCTGACATCTCTGTTATTGCAGTTTTTCGTAGTATTTTCTGGTCTTCAACCAAAAGCTATATTAAAAAGCATCTACAGTATGTTACCAACTTTAATTGTCATTCTTTTTGTCAACTATTCAATGGACAGACTCTTTAACATCAACTGGCACAGAGTTCATATGCAATTGCCCTCTGGTGTTTAATCTAAATGTATCATTAAAGTAACTAAACAAATTCAGACTTGATTACATCCATCACTGCTCAGTATATACCTCCCCTATGCTGACCTTTGACATCACTGTTAAGTTGGCAACACACAGCTCCAACAAGCACATAATGCCACACTAAACTTCATGAATTACGTGGAATATATCTGTCTGCAAATGACTACTATGCAGTTTCTCTGGCATTAATATTCCACCAAGCCACACTTTTGGACAGTTTTTCAAAGGCTGCAGCATAAAGTCATCCAGGAAGCCATAAATAACCTTAAAGGATTTCTGTAGGCATTACCCAAATTTACTCCCAAACCTACTTTTCCCATTAAAAAGCATGTCCCAGCATTATTTTTTCTTGTATGTCTAGCCAAAAAACAGCTTTTATTGCTTGTTGTGGCATACAGTAATTACCAGGCTTGCAAAAATCTTGCTGGGGCAGCTGTTTGGAGCTTAGTGCATATTGATGTGTAGGCTTTGGGAGTCCTGATAACAGCCTTGTTTTTCTGGGAAAGGAATCAATGACTGCATGTGGAGTGGGACAGAAAGGGGTGGGAGAGTTCTGCAGTTTAGCAGGCAGGGCTGATGGCCTTTATTACAATGCAGTTACATACAATTTGAGTAGTAAGGATAAAAAACAACAATATCTTATCGTCAAGTATCTTAGGACAATGATATGGCCACATGTAATGTGTTAGGGCTCATATTCAATATGTTCTAATTATGAGTGACATACACCGTTTTAATTGTAATTTCCAGTAGCCAATTAGCTATGATAGTAGACCTGGTTTAGGTATAAGGGAGTTAACGTAATTAATTAAAATCGGATAACGGCAAAGAAAGCGAGATAACAGTAGTGTTTTGGGTTTTTTTATTTTGTTTTGCCCAGATACTTTAACTGAGTGTGTCTCCTTTCCATTAGGTGTTCTATTACCACAGGGAACCATACCCTCCACACGAAGGACGTTTTGTAGGACGTGCAGTCTGGGATGGAAATATTAAGCGCGGTGATGGATCTATAATAATAAGGAATATCCAGCAAACATATAATGGAACTTACCTCTGCCAAGTTAAGAACCCTCCTGATGTGCATGGAGAAATGGGAGAAATTATACTCCAAGTGGTTGACAAAGGCAAGTACGTAAAATGATGTTTGCAGGCATCTAGAACGGTTTGTGTTTCCTTTAAATAATAATCAGTACTTGAAATTTAAAGGGTTCTCTTTTTTTTCCACAGTGAAGTTTTCTGAAATCATGTTGCTGCTACTGGTGATTGCAGTTGGCAGTGTAGTGATTATTATTATTGTCCTGGCGGTGGTGTTGTTTCGATATTATCGCAAGCAGAAGACTCACAGCACAACAATGTCAGTAATGGAATGGTGAGTGCCCTCTTCCTGGATGCTGAGTGGTAATGAAATATTGTGTTAATAAGCACAGATGGTATCTGCTAGAATACATCAAAAGGTGATAAGTGTTCTGTTTATAATTGTCCTTTTTTATTAGTAGGGAAAAGTTGACTGAGAAGCCACTTAATCTGACAGATGCTAATGCATGACTCCAAGAGGTTCCATCCAGGAGGTCAGTAACTGCGAATCAGCATTTTTTTCATATAAAGTATAAGGTTCCAGCTTATTAGAGTACATGTAAGCCCTAACTGGATGACATTTAGATTGCTAAAGCATTGAGTATCTTAAACAATTTTTGTTTGTCTGTTTAATGTGTGCTGAAATGGCTACTTGTAGTCTCCATTAGAAGACTGTATGACGGAGTGCAAATGTAGGAGCACAATTGAAAAACAGGGAAAAAGTGTTGTCACACTATAACAGCAGGTGCCTAAACAATGTCTTCATGGTAGGATCACCAGGTATTATTTTAATGAAAGCAGCAGATTAAAAAAATAATCTGGTATTCTGGCAACTGCATCTACTTAGATATGTGAAACAGGAGGCCAAGAGTTCCCGATTTTTACCCACTGTGAACCTTACTATTAACAAGAAGCGAGGGAAAATTGTGCAGTGCGGTTGCACGATACATAATAAGGTGAACCCATGTAGAGGTAAACTCGATTCCTTCCTGGATTTGTGGTTAGTAGCACCTCTTAAAAAATGAACTTGCTTGAAGGTTCGTTTTGAGTTGTTTATTTGAGCAGAAATGTCAGATACAGTCAATGTGTTTTGGAGGAATTGGATTTCCCCTTCTTCAGGGCTTGAGCAACAATATGTAGTGGAATCAGGAAGAGCTGTACTTTGTATCCTGAATAAGGACATAATTAGGGCTGGATTAGCACTGAGTGTCAGTATGACCCATTTGCAGTGAGGAGCACCGACTGGATCTGTTATAATTTTAATCTGTTAACATTGAATCGCCTTTCCTTGCAATGAAAGAACAACTTATTTACATTCCAGGTCACCCTAAAAAGATTTTGTGACGGTACTTATCCCTTTCCTTACATCATATTGACTGGAATCCATAATTCTTTTGTTATGTCCACAAAAGATGAAATTTCTTTCCTAGGTCAGTGATCCGCAGCCATTTCATATTGAGGAAGAGGTGGCCACAAACAGATTCAGTTGTTTTTGTTTACATGAATAGACTAATACCCTAACAAGTAAGAGATTTTTCACACAAGGAGAAGCTTTTCTTGCTGAAATTTAATAAATTGAATTACATACTTTATAATACAGTATTTGGTCTCATGTTTAGCGGTGCATACATTTTTTTACAGAGGGATAGTTTGGTGTGCATGTATTCTTTGTTCCTTTTTCTGCTGCACACTCAGTGGTTTGGACTCTTTGTTTGCATTGGCTTTGAATTTGGTAAAAATACATGCTATCTCTGCTCTTCTTGTTGCAGGTTTTTGGAGAAATGATTGAGTCTACCTCCAGTCCTGTGATTTGAAGAGCACACAACTTTCATCACTGGAAGACAAGCAGATGTTCTCTTCACCGGTGGAGAGCAAAGGCACCTTCTCATATCTTACTGCCTATAAGACTTGCTAGAGTCTTGTTTTTATTGAACCAGATCCACTGTATGAATTGATATGCTATCAAGGGTAGCATAGATTTGTATGTAATTCGATTCATGCCTTTCACAAACTTGGACAACTTAAACAGAACATATGATGAAAAATTCATAAGCCAAGCAACTAGGACTTGCACCGCCCCCTTATGTGTATCCTATTGATTTTTTTAGGGTGCCCACCATATTTATGGACCAGTAGGAAGGCTATGGAGATGGTACCAACATAAGGTTTACAGGAAAAGCCAAAATTTACGTATACCTTCAGTTTCCTATATATCTGCCAAACAATATCATCTGCTTACGTATTTTTTCCATCATACCTTTTACATTTCCCACATCTATTTAGGTACAAAATACTTAATTAATCAAGTGTTGCCAGCAGGAATCGCTGGGTGCCTGCATGTCGGCTCCATTTTAAATTTAAGGACCCTGGGTTCTCTGGTACAAAGAGGTTTTGTAGTTTAATGGGTTGAGTGCCTGACACCATCCCATTCCACTTCCAAAGATTCACTATGTGCCTATGAGGTTTAACATCAAAGTCATATGCCAATAGTGAGGCTAAAGAGGAATAGTGAGTGGGGCCCAGGTCCTTGCCCACTGACCTGTAGGTAGCGTTAGCTGAAAAGAACGTGTTGTGCTCTGCACTTAGGGGGGCCTGCCATGTGCTGGCTGCTGTGGATTGGTATTTTGCACCGCAGGAATCATTTATAAAATAAGGAGTAAAAAGAACCTTTTGGGTTTGAAACGTGGGAGTACCCACATGTCTTTGAAGGTCCAAGTTACAGGGCTGTCTATGCTTATCCTTCCTTCACTGCTTAGTAAATCATTGTCCTGAAACAAAGCATGCACATATCCAGTGCTGGGACATCTCATGTACACACACTTGTCCTGAGTCAGTGATTCACTTACTGTAATTGTTTCTAAACCATCGAATCTGAAATAATACCTAACCTTTCCCTTGTTCCAGATTATATCCATGTCTTGTTTTCTCCCGTAGACTTTTGCTTTTCTTTATTTTGTCCTGGTGATCCTGCCAGTTTTAGACTGTTTGGCCACTTCCTTTCCTAAGGTGACAACGCTCTCTGAGCAGCTTCTTAAGCAGGAATGATATGTCATTACTTCCTGCATTGCCCATCCCCAGTAAGTAACAGTGGCTCCTACATAGGGTGTATTGCTGTCATGTGCTGAGGCCTATAGCCCCAGTGCCTTTGGCAGTTGGCCAAATTTTAGAGGTGGGTTTAGTAATACTTAAAGCATGGATGAGAATGACAGCCCTGGAGAATGACAGCTTCTGCATTCTGTTTTTAAAAGGAAACCATAGTGGTATTTGGTCAAATGAATTTTACTTTTTAATGAAAGTTCCTAAACTGATATTTTATATCATTTCTAATATTTGTATGAAATACTTATTTTGCAAATAAACATTTAATACAGGTTTGTCTATGCTTCCGGGGCAGATAGTATATGCTGAGCTATTTAAATAAGAAATGTCCTGCACTAGGTTTACACTTGTACACTTATCACACTGCCCTAACATTGTTTGTATGTTTGCAGATCTGTGGAATGTGTTGATGTGATGCTATATAACAGGGTAGACAACTTTGGCACTCCAGCTTTGGTGAAATTACAAATCCCATCATGCCTCTGCCTCTGGAAAATATGCCTGTAGCTGTCAGAGCTTGCAATGCTTCACTGGACTTTCTCAACAGCTGGGATGCCGAGGTTGTGCTATAATATACTTATAATATTTTTCTTCTGACACCGTTAAGTACGAGAGTCATTCAAAAAGTAATGCCTCCATGTCTGTAATTTGAGATCTACAGTATGAGAGTGAATGTTCATTCACTCTCATACTGTATACTTAATGTTATAGAGGTGACCTTACCTCACTAATGTATGCTTTTCTTTTTCAGATTAAGTGATTAGAACCATGGATCTGCGCTAAAACAATGAGCTGTAATTGAATTTTTGACGAAAAAGGGTTGAGCACGTAAGGAAATCCATAAGCTGCTAAAGAATGTTTATGGGCACACATTAGCAATGTGCGGCGCTGGGTAAAGACGTTTCAAGAAGGAGAAACGGAAATTCCACGACAGCGTCCCCATAAACATTATTTAGCCGATTATCGATTTCCATAGGTGCACATTAGCAATGTACAGCGCTGGGTAAAGACGTTTCCATAGGTGCGCAACCCTCTTTCACCAGAAATTCAATTACAGCTCATTGTTTTAGTTGCAGATCAATGGTTCTAATCACTCAATCTGAAAATGAAAGGCATATATTAGTGGGATGGGGACACCTTTTATAACATGAAACATAGACATTCACAGTCTCTCTCTAATAGATCTCAAATTACAGACATGGAGGCATTACTTTTTGATTGACCCTTGTATTAACAAAATCTGTTTCTGGGCTTGGGGTGGATTTTGGGGTGAAAAATGTTCTGAATTCTCATTCCCTTTAAAACTATTTTTCTACTTTGCTTCTGCCAAGGAAAGATATTCTGTTCCTTATTTTATAGTATTTTACCAAGCGGCATATTTATAGACAGCCAGTGTAACTTTCACCAAACCAAATTTACTGTCCTTTAAAACACTTGCATCTGGAAGATTTGCATGCAGTGAATGTTTGGAATATGTTACATTCACAGGTTTATAAATCTACCCCTAGGTAAAATTCTCACCCCTAAACTATTGAAAGGATTTGAATGAACTCCACTTTTGTTAAAAAATAATTTAATATGTACCTTTTATTTTTATATATTAATAAAAAAATTACTATGTGGACCCTCCTCTAATTATTGAGTTCAGTTGTTTCTAGGGAAGGATACTTATAATTCTACAGCATATAAAGACATTTAGACAATTGTGTGTTTCCAACCTTGTGGTACCAGTTTGGGGAAGGCCCTTTTTTGTTCCAATATTAATGTGTCCCTGTGCACAAGGCCAACTTACTCCATATACTGTTGACATGGTTTGAAGAGCTTGGTGTAGAGGAACTTGAGTTGCCTAGACAGAGCCCTGACCTAACCCTACTGAACTCCTTCTCCCCTTCTGGAATAAATTAGAATGCTGATTGTGTGCCAGGTCTTCTTGTCTAATATCCGTACCTGATTTCACAATTGCTCTCTTTTGGCTGAATGGGTTCTAATTCCCACAGACAAACTCCAAAATCCACTGGAGGGACTTCCCAAAAGAGTGAAGGCTGTTATAGCTGCAAACGAAGTGGGCAACACACTATTAATGCCCATGCTTTTGGAATGGGATGTCCAACAAGCTTATACAGATGTGATGGTTAGGTTTCCACATATGCTTGGCCATATAGTATATATTTATGCACTACCCAATCCATCTTGTAATATATTATTAAAATGTATCTTTCTACTTCATTTTACAACCAGTTATAATTTCTCACACTGCCAAAATTCAAATGTTGCCACCTAGCAAGTATGGTATCTTATTTTTGGGTGCATTTCATAAACTGCTTAGAGTACTCCCTCAAGAGTCTATAGGAAGGGGGAAATAGCAAAGTAAAATACATCAGTATTGGGGTGCACTTTTCATGCACCAAATTATAAATGCTATGAGACAAGTTCTATGTAGTGTTGAACAGCTCTTCACTTTAAAAGTGCTATGCGATGGTTTCTATAAATGTTCGATTTTTGTGTGCCAAAATAATGAAGCACTTGTGAAAATGTTCTAATTTTAAAAATAGTTCTAAAATCTGCACCATTACTAGAGTGGTGAAAATACTGTAGTAAGGAGGTTCAACAGCAATGAAGAAGAAAAGGAGAGAGGGATGTCTATGGACAGCCAGTAATGTGCAGCAATGCAGGAAGTAGAGGAGAGAGGAATGTGTGAACGGTCAACATGGTGCAGCAATGCAGGAAGGAGAGGAAAGAGATGGATGTTTATGGACAGCCAGCAATGTGAAGCAATGCAGGAAGAAGAGGAGAAAATATAGGAGTTCCCAGAGGATAATGACCTGAGATTTATGCCAAAATTTTGGAACATGCTGGAGTAATTGCACCAGAAACTGGCACACCGCCAGCACTATGTGACAAATTGACGCATTGGTGTGCAACACGTTTATTAATTTGTCACAGGAAGCACTCATTAAACAGGCATACATAGTCTACGGCATTTTTCAGCGTGTGCCCCCCCCCCCCCACTTATTTTCACTTTTTATATAGTAGGAATTGAGGGGATGCCACAATTCTCTGTGTACAACACTGGTGGAAAAGTAGAGATTCACATTGCTTTTACATACTTTGCATTTTTTTTTTTTGCACTATGTATGTATATGGCAAAAACATTATAACAAGGTAAATCAGTTTGCTACCTGCCATTAAGGAAACCCTGTCACCAGACCATTAATTTCATCAAAAATCTTCTCATAAGACATGTGAATTTAATGTATTGTATGCATGTTGTTTACTTGTAGAAGCTTTATTAAAGACATTATTTTTAGCTAGAATGCTATACTTTGTTGGTTTATTGTATACGACTAAATATGGTAGCAGCCCTTTTGTATGCTTGGATCTGTGTGCATTTAGGGAGTGGAAGTTGTAAAATAGGTTTATTGTCCTGACTTTTTAACCAAGACTGTAGACTTTGTCTGTTTATCCCTGTGTTGTATTTTAAGGGGGTAGACTGTTTAAGAGAAACTGTAATGTTTGTTCTTATGTCAAGTTATCTAAGAAATAAGATAGTAGGTGAAAAAGCAATGGAATACAGTCTTAAAGGGTCATTCCAATTTTGCACCAAATTTGAGAATTGTGAGCCCTTTGCAAGCATTATTCTAGATGCTGAGCGCTGGGTTGCAGAGCGGTGTACAAAGCACGGTTTGTACACCAGCTGCACAGGGGGCAAACGGTGGGTTCCCACAAAGGTATGACTATTGCTTTGGGGGAGCAGAGGGGACAGGTTTGCGGTAGTAATTTCAGTTTCTCACATTGTGTGGGAAACTGGAATTACCCTTTAAGCTGGCCACATACATTAAGATTTCTTT